ACTTCAGTAAAAAAAAATAAAAAAATTAACTCATATGAATTGCCAACTGGTGACATGATATATTGAATATAACTCACATTCGTACGAGCTCGTCAAAGTTATTTAGACTTAGCAACAATTCTTTTTGAAGGGTTTGTAAGAATTTGGATCCTCTAGAGTTCAATGTGCAGTTGAGAAAATATAGATACAACCTTATTTTGGTATTACTAGGCCCACACTAGCGCTTGGCCCGGCTATTGTGTCGAATGGAGCTCTTCAGACATTTAGTCATTAATTGTCCTATAAAAAAGGACATTTAGTCCATACAGACGAGGCTTGGCCTCAGAGAAATTTTTATGAAATCGGCTAAACTATAAATATTTTAAAATTTGAGGAGTAAAATTATATATATATATATATATATATATATATATATATATATAATTCACAGTTTGGAACAAGAATAATAATGCTCTTGTTGATGTATGTAGGCTTCCACTTGATGTTTGAAAGTAATTCTTAGTATTACACTTGGATTACTAAAATTATAACACTTGACATATAATTATACATGTCATTGGAATAGATTTAAAATATTATATAATAAAATTTACATCAAATTTGAATCGTTGAGAATATCATACCCACAGTACTTGAGATTTTTTTTTTCATGTTTACATGCTTTAATTGTGTTTTCGCTAAGGTGGCTCTAATAGAAGAAAAAAAAAATGTGGGATGGAGGAATTTTTTTTTTTTTTTAATATTCCAATCGGTTTATCGTTTCGCTATTAATTTGATTCAGGACGGATTCCGAAATTAAGATTTTAAACCCTTCACAAATATAGTACTGCGAAGGATCAAACACATATTATCACCATTACCCTCACCTGCTTAGTTTCGTAACACCAACTGAATTACTATCATTTGATAGATAGAGGAATTCTTGTCCTATCTATTTGTCCTTTCATTGGAAAAATTGATTGTGTCTTTCTAGAGCATGCGATGATGGCGAACTCAATTTAAACTTGTTTAGTGCATCGTTTTCCTATTTTATTTTAATACGAAAATTTGTTACAATTAGCGTTAGTTTCTTATGTTGAAAACAACTCGAAGAATATTAATTATGCATCATTTCAAATGACATCGACGTTGTAACAACTTATATAAGATAATTCGAAGATATTGGAAGCAATGTAGAGTATAATATAATTTATATTATAATCAAATGTTATGCCCTGATTATCTAATTCATGGGCAGACTATTTAGGTCCATTAAAAGGTTACTATTCTTCTTCCCTATAGTAAGCACATAAATTTTATCGTAGTGGATTTTTCACTTCCTTACACACCTCACTAAATTACACGTTGGTGGAGCAATTTCTCAATGAAGTATTTTTTCTTATTTTTAGGGAATAGTTTCAATCTATACATACCCCTTTTCTTTCATTGTATCTATTACTCTACCCAACAGAAAAAATATTTTCTTACCAAATAGTAAGGAGTATAGTTTTCTAGGCGTGAAAAATGTAAAACTTGTTATTCAACACTTGAAAATGATTTTGCTGCGAGGACCAACAAGTCCTTTTCAGTTATCCTATACAGTCTAGCCACGCCAACGTAAAATATGATTTTATCCATTGAAAAAAATTCCCAATCTTCACAAAGAAGTTTCAACTTTCAAGTATTTTTTTTTTTTCATTACATGATGCTAGATGGTAGTTACTTTTGACAAATGCATGTATGAATGAGTTGGTGTCTATATTTCTTCATTTTGGCAGTTACATTTGAATGTTTAACCACTCATGTATTCTCATCCAACACCTGATTGACGCCATCCATTTGTAATAAATATTCTGAAATTTATTTTGTATTAAATAGCGTTACCCTATTCTTAAATAATGTCAACGTTCTATAAACTTCATGTTTGTTGTGGATTTTGCGGGCTAATTAGAGTCACACTTGATAAACTAGTACTAATTAAATGTCGACAGGGTCTTGGATAAGAATGATAATTGTGGTGGGATGATGAAATGCAAGAAAATCGTGGGAAAAGAAGAAAAATTAAACAGAACTTGAAGTTTAATGAGGAAAAGCTGCTAAATCTTTTAAACTCCGGGGAGCGAAGTATTGAACCTGATAATTGTATTAAATTATCATTATGGGCTTCACCTACCTTGTACACTGTCCTTGCTCTGACAAAATATCTAAAGAGTTTGTATAAAATAAAAAGTTGTGTGTTTTCTCAATGAGTTTATAAACAGTTCTATCTTCTCTCCAAAAATTTAGTATAATGTTCTTATTATAATTACTAATTTCTGGATGAGAAAGTTAATATGCTCTATATTTGTCCCGCAAAAAAATCATGTGTATCAGAAAACGGACTCTATTAGTATGCTCTAATTATAAACCCCAAAGGGAATTTTTTTTAAAATACTACAGTTGTACTGAGTTAGGAACGTCATTTTATTAAAATAGAAAAATTTTATTCCATTTTAATCTCTTGTTTTTTATTCATTTCCTTTTATGCCCTTGTTATTTTCTAATTTGGAAACAGTACTACCTGCGACGGTAGTACCCAAGGTTTGCACACAAATGATAGCTTAGTTGGCAACTGAGCTCCCAAGGACTTGCTTGAGTCAGGGGTTCAAACTCTGTCTCAAACAAATTCTTGAAAAATCTTTGGGGGAAGAGGACATGCCTCAATGCACTCGTTGTTCCAATGAGGGATAATCTTCAGACCGTACTCCGAGAACAAGATGATCGCCTTGATCGTAGGAGGTTGAATGGAGATACCCTCCGGATTGTACCAAAAAAAAAAAAAAATCTAATTATAATGTGACATTGCATTAATGACAACATGTCATATACTGCAGGGTATGTTTCCAATGTGAATGTGTTCAGCTTCCACCATGGTGAAAGACGAAAACATGGAAGAATGAAATTAAAATTTTTTTATTAGCATTTAGGACACACAAAGTTTGGTGGATGCCTAAATTGAACTCATTTTAGTCCAACTAGTTGGCAACAAATATTCAAGTCACAGTTTCATTTTCTCTCCTTCTGCTATATTGCTACCATTTAGACGAAATCCCTTGTGTTTTCTTTCCCATGTTGAATCCTATATGTGCCATTCCTTTGAAATACTTCAATAGAATACACGCAGTCTAGTCTAGCTCATCATGTCTAATGAATTTTGAATCCTCTAAGTGGCGTGATGCCTAACCTTGTTCTGCTTCGTTGAACAATGCAGCTTTAAGATATTGATATAAAAGCACTCCCAATTTCCCTGTATTTCTAATTTCCACACATTCGGGTTGCAAGCAAACTAAGACGACCAATTATGTCATTTCACACGACTCTAGATTTTTGCATATTCTATGATCAATATTTGTTTTAAGCATGAAAACGACTCATCTTTTCATCTCATAAATGTTAGTGGATATTGATTTTTATAAATAATCCAAAATGCTTGTTTAATTTTCAAACTTGCTTTTTTTAAGCTAGACATTTCGTTGCTGGACCACCATCTTGCATATCCTACAATACCACTCTAGCATGTGTTCTATCAGGTGCATGCTTAAAGCAAATAAATAATTTCTGATTTTTTTATTTTATTTTTTATGATGTTATTAGAAAGATTATAGAAGAGAACATCTCCAAAATTGCCAAGGATTTGTTGAGTATAGGAACCAATATTTCTCTAGTGGCATTTGATTTGATTAGTATTAGTCTTTGTTTTGATTGTTGACATGTCACCAGAAGACAGCTGTAGATTCTTAATATGTGATTTTAGCCTTACCACATGTGATTTTCATTAACCCCACTAATGGCTAGGTTGGGGTTGGTGAAGGAAGGTGATATGAATATTAAGCCAAATGAATGAGCAAGTCTAGCTGATTGGAATGAAATGGTTGCCTAGTTTTCTTGCAGTTTTGAAACTTTGAATTGGCTAAGCCATTTGTAATTATTAAATATCAAGATTGACTCCTCAATCCTTATAGCAGATAAGAAAAATATAAAAAAAATCCAACGGATATTCTGTGCTACAAACAACTGATCCCTTTCTTTCTTTTTTCTCTTTATATTTATTTATTGGGTATTGATCATGAATGACCAAGAAGTTTCAAGCACGTAAACTTGAAATATACATCCCCAAGTAAAAAGGAAAAACATCATTGGTTGTATCTTCACTTATTAGCTTAAACTTTTAGGTTGGATGGTTATTTAACATGGTATTAGAGCCTGTGATTCACCTTCTCTTTTCATGCTAATAAATTTCAGAAATAAATGGTCCATATCAGCTAGCAGACATCAACCAATTGAATTGTTCATAGATATCAGTTATCACCAACCTCTTTCAGCACAAACTTTTTCTTTTTGGTCATTTGTTTTTGGAAAAAGTGTGTATCATTCTAAAGGATATAAAGTTATGTCATTTTAAGTGAGAGAAAGAGATACATCATAGGAGAGAGGGGGGAGAAGTTTTAATGACACACCTCTTTGTTTTTTCCTTACTTTATTCAGCGCACACAAAATTGCAGGAAATACAAAACCATCTTGGCAGCAGAATCTAATCCTCAACACAAATATTGTTCACAAGCAACCACTTGTCAACACGTGGCACAAGTCAACGGCACAAGTCAACTAAAACTTTGGCCTATTTCGCTTTCAAAATCATTAGTTTTTCAAATGAAAGTTTGTCAGTTTGTAAGGTAAGTAGAGGGAAGGAAATGCCTGAAACAGAGAATATAGAGTTTATGTTCTTCACTCTTTATTTGCTTACTACATAACGCTCCATGAGAAAGGAAACATTTGTCAATAACAAGACGGAAAAATCCAAAAATAAAAACTAACTTGCTTCACCTATAAGGCTTAATGAGAAAGGCCACATTTGTCACAATAAGGTGGAAAATCTTGAAAAATTTAAAAACTCCATTCCTCGAAGTTTACATACTATACACACATTATGTGAAAGTGAAATATGTATAAAATTCAAACTGCCTTGATAGCTTTTGAAGAAGTATGTGAGTGTAATGAGGTGTATGTTACATCATTCCTAAAAACATGTTGGAATTTCAAAAAGAAAACATCAAAATCAAACTCCTAAAAAATAAAAAATAAAACTAGGAACTTTATGATGTACAATAGGATTTCCCTTTATTCCCTATCTTTAGCTATGATTACATCTTGAAGAATTGAATATCAATCATGCTAATATTGGCACACGTTCATCTTTTTCTGGTTCTTGCTTGGGAGAGTACAAACTCGTACCAAGAGTCTTATACAGAGCAGTGTCAGAGTACACAGCACGAGACTTCAATGGCTTCACACGACGTCTACTTCTACGACTTTTTCGATGCCGGTGGTGACCCTTCTCTTTTTTCTCCACCTTTTCTTCTTCTTCTTTAGTTTTCTCCCCATCATGGTCATTTTCTTGTCCTTTTTCATTCACTTTGAGAGAGCCTTCATTGGTTACCTCACTGGGTACCACATAAACAAAATGGCCAATTGGGATATCATTCAATTTCATTAGAGGCTCTAAGGTCTTAACCACAGTCCTCATGGTGGGCCTATATTTTGCATGTTGGCTTAGACATTGATAAGCCAAGGTTGCTACTTTTCTAGCCCCTTCAGTTGAGTACTGATCCTCAAGTCTTGGGTCAATTATTCTTTCAAGTTTATGGTAATCTTTCAATAGAGGCCTTGCCCATTCTACCAAATCTTGCTCTCTGGTGGGTCTTTTTTTGTCCACGGACTTCCTTCCTGTGAGTAGCTCTAAGAGAACAACTCCATAGCTATACACATCGCTCATGGTTGTCAAATGGCCTAAAGGGGGAAATAAAAAGATATGTTAAATTAATAGAAGAATCTTGAAAGTTTTTTATGAATGAAAAATTAAAAGGGTTGGTTTAAAAAATTGGTTTAAACTAGAATACCTGACATGATATACTCAGGAGCAGCATAACCACGGGTACCCATCACACTAGCTGTAATATGTGTTTGATCATTTTGTGGTCCATCTATTGCTAAACCGAAATCTGAGAGCTTAGCATTGTAATCCTGAAAAATAAAAATTAAAAAATGGGGTATGCACATGTCAGCTTGTGTTAATTATAATTAATTAACAGATAATGCCCACTTGAATAGTATTGCTTAAGAATTAAGATTGATTAAACAAAGGACTTACAGCGTCCAATAGAATGTTTGAGGCTTTAACATCTCTATATATGACTGGTTTCTCTTCTTCGTGAAGGAAAGAAAGTCCCTTTGCAGCACCAATTGCTATTTTGATTCTTGTTAGCCAAGGCAAGGTTGCCAAATAACCTGCATTTTAGAAGGGTGACCCTTTTGTAAGAAATCATTGAAGCAGCAATTATATATATTTTAACTTTTCAAAACCAGGTTTTGTTTCATTTTTTGTTTTTTTTTTCCATAATGAAAGCCAATTCAGAGAAAGAGATGGATGTACCTTTAAAAAGCTTTTCCTCTAGATTGCCCCGTTCCATGTATTCGTACACAAGAAGTCTATGCTCATCTTCACAGCAGTAACCAATTAAGTTGACCAGATGGCGATGCTTCAACTGCCCCAGAAATATTACTTCAGCCTATGTATTATATAAAAAAAACAAATTAGAGAATTTCATCACTTGAAAAGACAAGAATATAGATAGTAATATTGAAAGGTTTAGGAAAATTCTCACCAACCACTCTCTGTGGCCTTGTTTTCCATCCAAGTTTAAGGCCTTAACTGCTACAACCTGAGGTGACAATCTGGGAAACTTGTCATCAATAAACCCTTTATACACCTTCCCAAATCCACCTTCCCCAAGAACGTTGGATTTGCTGAAGTTGTGTGTAATCTCTTTTAGCTCCTGGTAAGTGAAAATATGAAGATTTGACCCCACAAGAGAATTGGATAAATCACTCATGATAGAGAGTGATGAAGAATCGCTTAAATCAGAGAGGGAGATTCTAGTTGAAGATGACTTTTTGGGAACTATTTTTGAGGTTTCCAAGGATGTGTGCTTGGTCTTGAAACAGCCAAGTACAAAGGATTTCCATTGAAGCCTCTTTGAAGGCATTTTTCTATTAAGCCTGTAAAATATGTGCCGGCTTAAGTGAGTTTGTTGATAGCTTTGCCAAATGAGGTTAGAGACCTCAGCTTTTATAGGTTACAAGAACAAGGCTTCAAGATTTTGGGGTTTATTTTTTAATGACTTTAATGAAGAAGCCTAAAACCTTATGTCATTTCCCCCTTCTTCTTTTTCTCCCGTGTAGGCCATTAAAATCCATAAATTCTATTGCTTATGTCATTTGCTGGTAGACTTGGCAGCAGCCTAAGTCCTGCAGCCCCACATGAGAAAATTCTACGGTGTCATGGTTATATTTCATTGACACAATAGGAATATGGATAAATTACAAATACTCCGACAATTAAATCGGTATGAGATTCATAAAGAAAGTACAATTACGTTGGATTTATACATAAAGGAAGAAACCCTTTAATTAACGGGTTTTATTTCTCTTTATGTGCTAAGAAATTTTATCTCCAACTATCACTTCGATTTCCATGAGTTTTTTTTTTTCTCTTTTCTTTTTTAAAAAATAAAGTGGGTCCACCATTTGTTATGAGAGTTGGAGACAAAATTTATCTTATATAACATAAGAAAAATAAAACCCTTAATTATAACAAGGGTAGGATATTGTAACAATCAATTAGTATTACTACCAATGTTACTACCAATCAATTTCACCGTTAGATCGATTTTGCTGATCCAACGGTTATATTTTTTTTCCATCTTTGTATGGTTATGATTCCTCATATTTAATGTGAAAGCATTAAATATGAGGAATCATAACCATACAAAGATAGAAATAAATATAAAGTATTAAATATAGGGAATCATAACTATTCAAAGATGAAAATAAATATAATCGTTGGATCAACATAATCGATCTAACAGTTAAATTGATTGGTAGTAATATTGGTAGTAACATTAATTGGTTGTTACAATATCCTACCCCTTATAACAAAGTTGGGAAAAAATAATTTATTATTGCAAAGGTGGGATCATGTAATATCTTTTTTGGGTTATGTTTATCTCATTTTACATGAGATAAACAACTCTCTTACACACATAAAAAGAGGTTGGATCCCACCACTTTTTTTCTCTCTCCTCTTACCTGTGGGTCTCACTTATACTTTTATTTTTACATCATGAGGTAACTTTTTTCCTACAACATAAGAAAAATATATCTCATCTTTTTTCCTCATGTTATAGGAGAAAATAAATCTTTCCTACACATATTATAAAAAGATATGTCACTCTTTTTTATTTTTTGTTTTTGTTTTAAATAAATGGATCTCACGCTTAATATATTTATGACATGAGATGCATAAGAAAATAAATCTTTCTTACACATATTATAAAAAGGTATGTCACTCTTTTTTTATTTTTTATTTTTTTAAATAAATGAATCTCACACTTAATATATTTATGACATGAAATTAGAACTTTCTTATCAGATTTCTTTTTCCCTATCTTTTATAACATACTTTTTCATATAGAAAATAATCACATGCTGTTATCTATTGAGATATTAAAGTGGGACTCTCGAAATTGCCCCAAGCATGGGGTACAATGTATCAGTCGAGAAAACCACCTTCCTAACTCGACACGTATGAATCGTAACTTTCAAAGTAGTGTAAACGGTATTAGCTTGCTTTTTTGTATTCAAGCTTTATTTTCTTGTGCTAAAAAATAAAAATAAAAAATAAACAAAATTATTCAGTGACTCCACGTGATTGAAATTAGAAATACAATAATGGAACAACAAAGAACCTTCTTTAACAAGAAACGTGATGGGCTGTTTCTTCATCGAACTAAAATAACTCAATTCAAGATATATCGTGGAACTTAAGTGGTTCGAAAGATGCCAAGCCCTCAATTCATCACTGTTGCACTGTGCCACTCTCCATGGGAGGCTTGTGGGTTCCTTATAAGTACAACATAAAGCGAATTCTCGTCCTTCTACTCTTTTTTTTAGTAAATTAAAATAAAATATTCCTAATATGATGGGATATCATTTTATTTAAGAGAAATACAATATAAAATTATTAATATAATTTAGACTAAATATTTGGTAGAAGAAAAAAAATTTTATTTCTAGAAATATAACCTCACCTAAATGTTTAGGGGGAGTTTGATAGAGAGAAAAAAAATTTATTCCTGAGAATATACTGAGAAAGTAAATTTTTCGAGAATATTATTAAAAGTTATTTGCCTTTGGTGAGGCAAAATATTTTCAGAAATGTTGGCTCAAATTTTCTAATTATATGTTTGGTTGATGGTGAAAAATTCTTAAGAATGTAGACTGATTTTACAAAACTAACCTTTGATGAACTTTTGAAAAAAAAAATTGATATGCCACAAAACTAACCCAGTCTAAGGGTCGAGAAAGGGAAGAGAGGAACCCACGATTTAAGGAAGCAAAGTATTACATCTAGGGTTTTAACAAGATAGGGTATTTTAGTTATGAAAATATTTAAGCAGAATTATTTATGTCCTATAAATCATGTAAAAGTTTTTCACCAGGTGGAAATCCAAAAATACCACCCACCTAGTGGTATTATTTTCTCATTTTCTTGGGTTGAAATAATTTTTTGTATCATAGCTTAGCCAATGTGATCAAATATGACCACAAGTTTGATTATCATTACCTATGTGAGGGGGTGTATATCTTCTACTCATCAAATTGGCCAAAGTGACAAGTTCATTCTGACACCACATCTTAACTCGAAATCTTAAGACATTAGATTTATGGGTCCTTTCATTTATATGTGCTATGCTTCGCCCATTCCTTTTCAATGTGAGCCTTTTATTACTCATACTTGAATTGTGAACAGTGATCTCTATAATCACTTATTCTTAATCTTGTTTCTTATTCTTATCCCTAATAATCTCATTTTAAAGATGTTAGTTATAAGGTATCTCAAGTGTACTCCCATCATGGCTTAAAATTCTATTAAGTTGATATACACTCTCTTGAAGCTTACTCAAATTCACTTCATAGAATGTCCAAATATGGAGATTATAAAGATCTCAACTGGGAAGTCTTAGTTAGAGATTTATTTTAACGATTTAAATGTCATAATTAGATTCAGAACGTGATTTCGAGTGTTTTGATTATAATCATGACTAAGTTATGAACAGTGACTTTTGTCGGGTATTCTGCACTGCTGTGTAGCAACTATAAGAGCTCAGAAATGAGCAGAATGATGTTAGAGACCTAATTTGGCAATTCTGATGTCAAATATGAGTTCAGAACGAAAAATTACGTAGTTTGGCACTTTTTGCGAAAATCTCGTAAAACGCGTTTCTGCCAGATATTTTGTACTGTCGTTTAGGCAACCGATAGAGTCCAAAAATCTAAAAAAGTTCAATAAAAGTATGTTCAAGTCCAATATATATCATAAAAGTCATTTTTAGACCAAAAGTATTCGGTTCAAAAATTTTAGGGTTTTGCTTGTAAAATTACACAGTTAGTGATTCACAGTGCATGTTTTAAGAAACAGTATCCGAATTCATTTATGAATAGCTTAAAATATTCCTTGTGAAATATAAGTGAATGTAAATAAACTCAAAAAACATCAAGTTAATTGAATTTAATTGAGAAGAAAACATTCGTTAAATGACCATGTGTCTTATAAAAGCAAGTAGCTTAAGTGAAACAGTATTCACTCACATTCTTCCTCTTCTCTCTCTCCTCTTGGCTGATCCCTCCCTCTCCATTTGAGCTAGGTTTTCAAGTTTCTTCCTCTCTTGATTTTTCCATCCTCACTCAACCAAAAACAAAAGTGCATTACACAATTTTGATAGTAAAACTCTCAAGGAATCCATCCTCACTACTTGGTTTGGGCTGAAATTGAGTGTATGAAGAGTTCCTCCCTTCTCCATTTTCGTGGCACTATTCACAAGATCAAGAAAGTGGGATTTTTGGATGAGCCAAGCTTGGTGGATGATCTTTGGGCCTTTGATTGTTGATTAGAGGTAAGAAATCTCTATTCCTATGGTTCCAAGTTTAATTTTCAAGTCTTGAATGTTTAAGAGCATGTTAGGGTTTAATGATTATGCCTTTTCTTTGGAGTTTTGAGTTATGAGTAGGGAAGAATATATGTTAAGAGTTTGAATTGTGTATGTAGTTATGTAAATAAAAAGAAAAATCATATGGCTCCTCTCATATGCTTGTTCGACCCTAAGGGGGAAAATAGGAGTTTGAAATGCAAATTAAATTTTGAACATGTGTGTAGACTTTAAAATATATGTATGTATGTATGTATAAGAGAGTGTATCAGTTAAATGATTGAATAATTCCTTGATTGTGAAAATGCCATTTATAGACCTACGTGCTTTAATTGTGGAACATTGAGAAATCATGAATATGTTAATGAATCTTTGATTAGATGTGTATGATAAGCTTGAATTTGATGGACTAATGCATTGGAATCATGAAATTGACAGGGTTTCCTTTATGTGCCTCTTAGCCATTTACAAAGGAAGCATGTTTTAAGAGTGACTGTTTGTGCTAGTGAGCATTTATACAGTCTAAAAACTATATGATTAGATGTTTAAGCCTTTGGTTGGGTTAGATAAAAAGAAAAATGAATGAGTCCCTTCTTTGGACCTTATATGTGAATCTAGCCATTTTCAAAGGTGGTAGGTGTTAGGAATTACTGTTTTGCAAAGCGAGCACCCTTTTATGCGTGGAATAATGTTCTAAGGTGTATGAACCTTCGCCTTGGTGAAAGACAAAAGAAAATAAGGTAGCTCCTTTGTATGGCCTTTAAATAAGTTTTGGTCATTTTCAAAGGAGGTATACGTTCGGAGATATTGTTTCGCAAAGTGAGAACACTTTTATGCGTAAAACAATTTATATAGGCGTCTAAGCTTGGGTTTAGGCACTAGACAAAGAGAAATCTTATAGCTCATTTGTAATGGGCACTGATGTGTCTTCAGCATATAGATATTTCATAATAAAAAGAATAAGGATTTGACAGTAATTCAGTGATAAAAAGAATTATTTTTAATGAATTATTGATAATACATCTTCAGACACAC